ACTGGCACATGATTTTCTTGCTACAGCAGACTCTGTCAGCTGTTTTGTGGTCTTCCATTCCAGGTACTCTGCACACAAGAACAAGAAAGGCTGACTTGGAGCAATAGTAAAAAACTTTCTTTATATTATGGCTTGGGAAAAAAAAAGGCATAATACACTGCACGGTATAAGGTGGAAATCTGAAGAATTTCTTTTTAAATACTTACATTTCCCATCTCCTTAAATACTTCAGCAACGCCTGAATTTTGAACTTTTCTCCATAACACTCAGCCTTTCACCATCAATATAACTAAAGCTTATGTCTTGGAGACTGTAATAGTAGATGATGTACCTATTCTCTGTCTCAGAAATGCCCAAGATGCTCTTAATAGAACAAAAAAGTGACTAAAGCGTTCAGCAAAGTTTCTTGATGTTTCTAACTTGCTACAGGAAAGGTTCTTACATGGATTAAATAACTGTCCATATAGAAATACTAGGAGAGAGAATAAATCTGTCAGTATATAGATCCCTTTTACATCATATGTGACTATTACTTATACACTTGGGAAAAAGGCCCCAAAACCTGAAGAGCTGAACTTTATGACAGCTCAGACAGGTATTCAAACTCCTTTCTATAAAATCTCCTCTGCCAGCCACTGGTGGGGCAACAAAAATATCCTAGTGTCCTAGTTTCAGAAAAAATACATGTTTTCCTACATTGTTTTTTGTCCTTTGTATTGAAGATATCAAATCACCAAAGGCTGCCATACCACAGTTATAGAATTTGTTTGCTGTTTTGCTATGGCTTCCCACTCTTAAAGTGCATGGAAGAGAAAGATGACTTTTTCTGGTAAAATACTGGAAGAGGATTCCTCTTTCTGGATTGCAAATCAATAGCAAAAGTGTGCAGTCAGCTTTAGCAATCTCTGAAACAGTAAACAGCATTTTTTCATCATGTGTCCATCAACACTTTCCTGTTCACAGATACGAAATTAATATTTTCTATTGATATTAAAAGCCAACATATGAAAATCCAATTCAGGAATAAACCAGAAAAGTCTTGTACAATACTAGCACATAAAATATATTAACATTGTAATTTCAAATTCTATCATTTCCTGTAACAAGAAAATGATAACAAACTTGCATTAAGAGCTCCTGTCAGAGAAGAATGCCAATTTTTGTCTCTAAACATCTGTACTTTGATTCTTGCCTACCTGTTTGTTTCAGATGTGTTGCTTAGGCATTCAACACTTTATGTGTTTACTCCATTACCTATCTGTTCAACCAAGATTACATACATCAATTGGAGTACAATAAATGGAGCGTGAAGACAGGCCACATTACTATGAAAATCCTCTCCTATAGGTAGTGAGCAAAGGAGAAAATCTCAGAGAGATGACAAACATAATTTACTCTGCATGTCCCATTCTGTTGAACAGGGTGATTCACTGTGTATCCCTGATCCATAAGCTATGGCATAGGTGAATTCAGAAAGAAAGCATATAAATCCAAGCAGGTGAACTACCCGGTTTTAACAAGTTCACTTTGTTTTTCAGAGGTCACATGCTTCTTTTTCACTAAGAAGTTAGCAATATTTCTCCATTTATTTATTAAAGGTAACATAAGAAATGGGTGTATCAAAGTAGAACACGATGGAAACAAAATCACAAAGGGCATGGTATATTTTGCAACTGAACTGTTCTCTCCCCTTCAAAAAGCATTTGAAATCACTGGACAAAATCCAATGCCTTAGTCATGCTCAGAGGCAGCGGCCCAACACCCTGTGTGTATTGGCTAGTCAGCTTCTGGCTACTGAATTCAAATGTGGCTAAAATTGATGCTAACACATGAACCATCAAACAAAGGGAGAAGGATAGGTGGGAGAGATGGGGGAGAGGAGTAAAGAGATTTTTGTCCACAGCTGCTCCTTCAAAAGACAAACTCGTCTAAAAAGTAAGACTGTCAGGTCTGTTTCTCATGGAACAAGTATTTCAACTGAGGAAGGACAAAAGGATAGCTTGGTTGTAGGTATGCAACTGCAATGCAGCTGTATGCACATTGCTATTAAGACTTTGAGAACACAAAGAAGTATATCATGAGGCAAAATAGAAATATATGCCCAGCAGCTGCTCCATAACTCCTGCTCTAGATGGACAGTGAATTTGCTTAGAAAGACCCCATCGCACAGGCTTATTGCTATTATGTGGCTCCATGTGTTTCAGTGTGATCCTCCATGAATACAGAGGAAGAGGTGTACTGCCTCGCATGAAGAACCCATTCAGTCCAACATCCTGTTTCCACCACAGGCCACAGGCAAACGTCAAAGGAAGAGGAAAAGCAAGGCAAATATATGATATCTTCTCTGCAACACTCCCACAGCTACCAACTGCTTTCAGCTCTGGGAATTTCCTGAGTGTGAGGGGGTGTTCATTCATTAACTCTCAACACAGTCCTCTTCCAAATACTTGGCCCATCTTCCCTGCACCCTCTAGAGAAACACCCTGTACTCAGTATGCCATTCAGAAAGGCACTGAAAGAAGAACCATCTCCACTTGTTTATTTAGTCTCGGGCTCCTGCTACTGCAAATCTGATGGTTTGTACTCAGAAAGTCAGCTGGCATCCACCGTCTACAAGTTACTTAGGATGTGACTGGCCTCATGCATCTTCCCTCTTTGGTGAAAACACCAAGCCTCAATTGTCCCTTTCAAGGGACAAAATATCAGACAGCCGAGCATCCTTGTTATTCTCTTCTAGTTACAGCATTTTCTTTCTAAGAAGCAGGGAACAATGCTCATGGTGCAAATTCACCACAGATTTCTGGAGTGCCATAAATGTGCTCCCAGTTTTGTTCTCTGTACCTTTCCTTGAAACGTGCCTTGCTTTTTCCAAACACAAAGATGGCGTTCATGCAGGGCATACATACTTCAAGTCTCGCTCCTAAGTGGCAGCAACTAATTCAGGTATTCCTACCTTTTAAGTAAAGTTATGACCAGTTATGACATCACCTTGCATATATCTATTCTGTATTTAATCTACTGTTTTACTGCCTCATCACCCACAATTTGTTACAGATGACCCTCACCGTGCACTAACTTAAAAAGGCTTTTGCGTAGCCAGGAAACATTCTTGTCTTGCCGCTCACCGTTTCCTCCATGGGAGTGATGAATTGTGAAGTACTGCTCAGCTGCCTCCTTGTGCCCAACTCCTCACTGATGATCATCTCTGTGGCTATGAAATAATGCACATCTGTGCTTGACAATTAATGACAGACCTGCCTTTTAACACATGGCTACCAGCAGACAAGTAATATTTGATATTAATTGGCATACAGAACCTGAAAAACTGTTTAAAACAGAGATACCATTATAATTATTATCTCATGTGCACGCACGTGTGTTTAATACTAAGCACAAATATTATTCCATGACCAAAGCAATGAATATGAGATAGTTTCAACTCCTTGCTAATATACAACTATTAGTTTTGTTACCTTCTCCTGGCCATGAAAATTAGGCTCATTGTATCTGATTAATTCTGGTCAGAAGCAGAGCTGGGGAGAATATTCTGCTTTGATTGCCTTGACAGACTGCCCCTGAGAAAAAGAAAAAAAAAAAAAGAAATCGCCAGTATATGTTTCTAAAACAGTTTTACTTAATAATTAACACTTGTATAGATAGTTGCGGCCCACAGCCAATTTTATTTGAATGCCTTGTCTCTGAATTTGCTTTTGTTTATGTATTCTGATTTCCTTTTAATCCTAATTCCAGTTTGGTTGCATAACAATAATGTCCTTTTGCCCTTAAAACCCTTACACAGGGTCTCAGACTTGGCTTTGCTTTAAGGCAGTTCTGGTTTATGAATGATACAGAACTATTTGTTACCCCACAAGCACAACTCAGTTCACTCCTCCCTAAATGTCTGTTCCTACAAAACAAGGAAGAAGAGACACCAGAATAGCACAAGGAATCCAAACATAAGTGTGTTTGCTTTTCAAGCAAACATTTCCATTTCCAAGACATCTACTAAATACTTTTCTTCAATCTTTTTTTTATTTCACTTATTTCTACTGTGCTTATTAACCTGTTTGGAACTCCACTGTCAGCAAGTCAGTCCAAACAAGGGAGTAATGAGGTTGGAGAAACGTATGCTCATACTGTAAAATTGCATAAGCTGCTTCCTTTACACTGGGGTTACGATTTGCATTTTCATCTATTAAATACCTTGTGTTCTAGATCCTTCTCTCTGACTGTGAAACGTATTTGGACATCTCCACTGTGGCACTTTTCCAACTTTATACAAACACTGGAAAGCAATCTCGCTGAAAGCAGACGGTTTAGTATGACTTGGTTATTAATTTTTAAGGAAGAGGTTCTGTGATCTGCGACAAGAGAAGTATTTTAATTGACGGGAGGAGCTACCTACCACTCATGCAAGTATTAGAACCCCTTAAAATGTCTTCATCTGCATTTCTGTACATATGTATATATATATATATATATAAAAATATATATATATGGAGATATATATAAAAATTTCCCAGAAGCAGGATGTTCTTTTCTCAGCGTTCACAGCACACTCTGCTGGCTGTTGTCGAAAGTTAATGCCAAGCGAGGACGACAAGCTAAAAAGAAATAAAATGTTTTAGGACACAGGAGAAACACGATCCATGCAGGTAATTACCGCGGGCATTTGAACGGAGAGGAACAAGGGACGTATTCTGTGATCAGCGAGGAGGGGCTGGCAGGAAACTAGTTTAGTTTCACGGAAGAGAGCGAGATTTCTTTTTCGGTTTTTTTTTTTTTGGGGGGNCGCGTGCGCGGGGCTGGCGGGGGAGGGCAGGAAGGCGCGGGGGCGACAGTGAGCCGGCTCCGGCCGCGCCAGCGGGGCGGGATGGATGGGCGCCTTTTTTTTTTTTCCCGGGCTTTTTTTACTCTCCTTTCTTACCCTGTTTTTTCTTTCTTTTATCCTTTTTTTTTTCTTTTTCTTTCTTTTTTTTTTTTTCTTGCCACCCCTTTTCCTCCTTCACACGTTTTTCTGGATGTGCTCGATTAGTGGCGCGTCCGATTCTTTTCAGCATTAAGTCGGCTATAGCAAATGCGCGGTAATTAAAAACGAAGAATTTTAAGCCGCGGAAGTGGGACACAGCCTGTGCCCTTGGGTATAGCACATTTTAATTTATTTTTTTCTCCCTCATAAATGCTATTTCCATTATTTCTTTCTGAGAATTTAAATTTTAAGATCTACATGAGGGTAAATTTGCGCGGCTTCGTCGGTTGTGGGAATTTTGGGATTTATGTGGTTTGTGCCAAGACCGGAGCGCTGCTGCAGTGCCAGCTTTTATCGTTATAAAACGTGCTGGCGCCAAGTTACTGATCGTTCGGTGGAGGATTTCAGCACATTGCCTTGCGATATTCTCCCCCCCAAAAAAAGCAAACGGAGAAGTAAGGGTCCCAAAATAGATCGACTTTCTTCTCTGGGATTGTCTTTGTCTTGCTTTGTTCTGCTTGAATCAGCTGCGGGGCTGATGGTGCAGTGTATCTCTTTGTTAGAAATCAGCACCAGATTTCATTAACAGTGTAAACAATTAGCAGCCCTGCTTCTTTTGATGGGCTAATGTTTAACAATAAATTAAAGTAGATCTGGGATGCCTTTACACTTGGGCGTATTTTTTGCTGTGTAATTCATAACGTCATTGTCTTAATAAAATGTCTTCGTGTTCGGGAGCACTGTCTTAAATGATGGAATGTGATGTAAGAGTATGAAATGACTGTGAAGTACTGAGCATCCGGCTGTCGCTAGTAGGACTGAATTTACATAAAATGTCGTCTTTGCTGGATCGGATCTGCTATAAATGCAAACGCAATTAAAATGTATGGTGCTGCATGTCAACCATTAATCTTCTGCTTCAGGTGTTCCTAAAATTCCACAGCACTGCCTTGCTTCCAAATTTCAAAACTGTATAGAAATGTTAAATTTCTGATAGAATTCCAATGTTACTGTTAAAGGAATGTTACTTATAGCTGTCGTTCCCTGAATCGGTGTTTCTTGGTGTCCTATGGAACATAAAAGCAGATGGTGATGACGCTGGAGGTGATCCGCCCGTTGAGGATGCGGCCAGAAGCAGTGGCTGGCGCTGAGATGAGTCTGGGCTTGGAGCAGTGCTGAGAGGGCTTGGGGAGAGGATTGTAGTGGAGCTCCATCCCCATTCCACTCCTAGCAGCTCTCTGGCCATCCACCTCCGTTTCTGCCAGCTGGAACGGACAAGAACCTTTGCCAACTGCCCCAGGCTTCCACTGAGCTCGTTTAGGGAGAGGCAGGTGTGGCTGAGCTAGGAAAAAAACTGGAGCAGAGCTGAGAGAACTATGATGCCAGCGCAGTTCCTGTAGTTTCCTGCTCTAGCCACCCTCTTCAAACTGAATCCCTTCTCTGCTTCCTCCTGTTTCTGCCCGTATGTGTTCTGTAAATCGGGGCATATTTTGGGAGGGCCAGAACAGAGGAAGTGGCAGGAGAGGATTTGAAACACTTTTTGGGAGAAATGTGGCAAATTATTTTTAACAATGGCTAAGTTAAATGTCCGTTTAAATGTTGAAGTTAAGTACTTAATGCTGAACTTAAAACAAGAAAACATTCCAACAGAGATGGAATTGTGCAGTAATGGGTTTTGAATTTGTACTGTATTCTGGAAAGCTTTGATAGAGTGAAACTAGTTTGTAACATGCTTGTGTGAATTCTAGTAAAATTACCTGTAATACCAATTCTAGATGCTTGTTTTTATCATTGTAGTCCCTTAAAAAAATATTTCTTTCCATTAGCACCCGTACTAGAATTTGATTATCTCATCTGTGGAGACTGTGGCAAAGAATTCATGGACTCCTACCTTATGCAGCACTTTGATTGGGCAACATGTGATAATTGCAGGTATTAAAAATAATCAGGAGAGAGAAACACTATTTTACATAAAGATTGCTGGCTATAATTCAATGAGTTACAGTCATTTAAAGAGACTGTCAGCAGAGAGACATATTTCAGTAACTTAAAAATGTAAATGAAAGTTGACTGATACCCTGTGTATTTTCCATTATGGAATTGAATCACAGATTGTCTCATAAGCCTGCCTTAGTATAGGGGACATCAGTGGATTTTCATACAACATTATGGAAATGGGATGTCATGAGAGCAGTTGGTGTGTTTGTCAGTGTGAAAATTTATGTCTGGCTGCAGACTAGAGCCATTTGAAAACCTGATGGAACACAAATATCTGCTGTCTGAAGTGGATCAGGGATTAGAGTGTTTGCGGTCCTGGTGTTTTAACTCGAGTGAAGTTGGTACTTTGGTCAGCATGGGCGTGCTGGAAGCACAGCAGCCAAAGGGCAGAGCCCCAATGGGAGGTTACTGGTTGGCCTGCGAGGTAAGCAGGAGTTTGACCTTGAGAGGAGAGCAAGCTCTTATCTTTTAACACAGAAAACGCTCCAAAAGCCATCAAGATAACCAGGGCAATGAAACCAACTGCAGCAGCCGGCTGCCCATGTGTGTAAGAATGAATTGGGTGAATGAAAAAAAAAAAATGGCAGGAGTTTGCTCTGGGAGCCTACCCATTTACTGCAGGGAGTGGTTAGGGGTGTGCACGTGGTGTAGACGGTTTGCAGTCGTGGAGGCAAAGTTCTGTTTCAGAAGTTGTAGTGGGTAGGAAAAAGAATTTGAGGACAGGACATGGAGCCTGGGGAGTACTTTCCCTTGGGTCTAAGCTCCTGCAGCTGATTGCTGTAGTGTCCTTGGTGCATTACCTACAACTGTGAACTTTGAATTCTAGTAAAGCTACATTTACAGCAGTACTTCCTTGATGACTGTTGTTAGCACTTAGTGTTTGGCAAATTATTTGGCTCAAGCGGTTGAAGTTGTACTTCAGTCAGGATTGCGTAAATGTAATTTTTTCCATTAACTCATAAATGCTGCTGTGGTTCCAGAGTTTCTCATTATCTGTCTCTTAAAGGCTACAGTCTTAAAAGTCTTTATTTTATGGTTCCTCTGCCTATTGTCTTGCATTATAGAAAGAAGTGCTCTGTGTTGCTAATCAGTTTCTGAGATCTAGAAGCATATGGAGTGTGTATATTCTCAGGTGATCTGACCTGTCTCACATTACACATTCTTTCTGTCTTGACCATGTGAGGCTTATACTTCTGTGCTCTTGCATTGCATCTGGGTTAGGTGAATACCTGAAATTGTTAATATTCATTTTAAGTTTCAGTTATTCCCTCTTGTAAGAAAATAGAATAAAAGTCTTTCTAGAAGAGCAGGCTTCTCAGCCTTTGTTTGCTGAAATGGGGGGATTTTTTAAACACTTAATTTCAGTAAATCTAGTCTGGAGTTTAGCTAGGTTGTTGGAATCCAAAGTTATTTGCATGCATAAAAAGCTGAGAGGATTAGGGCTACCTGTATTTCAGGAATGTTAGAAGGGATGGGGACTGAGATGTTAATAACCTGTGGTTTTAGGGTGCAGCTTTCTCATCATTATTTTACATCTTGCAGAGATGTTGAAGATAAACATAAGCTTATAACAAGGACAGAAGCAAAAGAAGAGTATCTCCTTAAAGACTGTGACTTAGACAAGAGGGAACCAGTGCTCAAATTCATTGTGAAGAAAAACCCTCATAATTCACGATGGGGTGAAATGAAGCTTTATTTAAAACTACAGGTATAGAAACTTAATGTGTTTCAGACCTTTTTTTACCTTTGTACAGCTTTGGTTGTCACTTGGTACCTGAATGGTGTTGTCAAAGCTAAGTGTGTTATGTATAGCTCGTTATAGTTTGGTGTATAATGGTTGTGGTCTAAGTTGTGAAATTGTCTGGTTTTGAGAGCATTTTAAAGATGTTCATTGAGCAGAGCTTCAGTGGGTTGCACAATTACAAGTCACAAAGCACATGGCCCTTCAGTTTTACTCTGAAGTGCATGGGGCAGCTGCAGCTGTGTGTGGCCCTTTGTAGCTGTGTTCACAGCTTTTGCCCACAGAGGCAGCAGGAAAGGCAAGTGGATTTCCCAGGGCTCTTGTCATTTTTTTGTTTGGTACTTCGTAAGAATCATACTGCTTTAGTAAAATACGGGCAGAATTAGAGCTGGGTTTAAGTTTTCCTGAGTTACATGTAGCTGATACTAAATGATGAGGCAGTGTTGCCAGTGTGGAAGGAGTGCAGTCTTTTATGAGTCAGGAGCAGAGACAGGTGGGATGCAGAGGAGAGGAAGATTGGTTGGTTTATGTATGTGTAGGGTAAAATTAATTTTGTAAGTTAGAATAGTTTACTTTTATCGTTTCAGGGAAAAAAAAAAAAAAGGCATTTATGTCCATCCTGTAGGTAATTAAGCGTTCACTTGAAGTCTGGGGTAGCGAAGAAGCATTGCAAGAAGCAAAGGAGCTACGCCGTGATAACAGAGAGAAGATGAAACAGAAGAAGTTTGACAAGAAAGTTAAAGGTAACACGTTAAAATTACATACTTCAGTACCTGAAGGGAAGTACGGTTCTGTTTAAACCTGTGTCTGCATTAGATTGAATTAGTGAGAAGATACTCAGTGTGGTAAAATGGAAGTTTTCAAGATTGGGGGGTGAACCTGGAGCAGTCTGGTGTGACCTCATAGCTGTGTTGGGCAGTGTTGCACTGCAGGACTTATGGTCGCTTTCGCCTTGAATTCCTCTGTTGTCCTGTGGACATGATGTGACAGAAATCAATTACAATGGTGCATTATAGTGTTTTTCAAATTTTTGGGTATGACCCAGAATGTGCCACGGATTGCTCCTGATGCTTTTGATTTGTGGAAGACAAGGATTTTTGTGCCAGTGGATTCTGTAATTCTGTGGTAGTCTTAAGGTGGAGTGATTGTAATGAAAACGGGTTTTCCTTTTGTTCACAGCAATCCTAGCTGCTGTCTTTATTGCACATTACCCTTTGGGTTTTTTCCCTGATAAATTAATATTTAGAAGAGTATTTGATGGGTGTTGTACCTTTTGTACCACCTATAGCATGCATGCTTTGCTTTGGGGTGGCATTTACAAAGGCAAAGAAAGCTCAAGCTGGCTGTACTGGTGTTGTCTGAAGGAGGCACAACTTGAGACTGCACAAATAACCCCTGTCTGGGCCATTGATGTTGTGCGCACAGAAGGACTGGCAGCAGACTGTAGCCAAGATGCCAGAGTTCAGTGCAAGTACAGGCCTTAACGTGACAAAGTTTGCAGCCTGAATGGTTTGGCTCAAAATGTGACCACATTTTGCTGTTCAGTATTCTTGCCACCCGCTTGGAGCATCCGGATAATATCTTGGGCCCTGCTGCCAGCTTGTGCGCTCTAGAGAACCCGCGGATTTCACTGCGGATGCTGCAGAGGCAACTCGTATTATTGGGCATAAAGCTTAGAGAATGCCAAGTCATTTGGGAGGCTTACTGTGACCTGAATGAAAATGACTCTTTCTTGGTCATGTAAAATAAATGAGGTGTTCTATAAAAACTTTTCCTTTGCATTCCACCGACCCCTTTTGGATATCTTTGAATGGCTTTGTGTAAAAAGGCAGCAGGAAACATGTCCTTAGTGCAGATGGAAGATCTTTGCCTGTGAGAATCCATGACAGTGTAGTTCTTGGCCCTTAAAATATGCAAACAAGGTGAGGATTGCAAGGCAAGTCGGAGCTTGTTCTTGCAAGAGCAGATTCTTTCCCAGACTTTGTGAAAGACGGGCAGCAAGCATATTGCCATCTGTAGGCCTCGAGAAGCTAGTTTGCTTGAGTTTTATTAAACATTATTTAAGATGTATTAAAATGTTAAAATTTTCTTGCATTTCTTACCAGAACTCCGCCGTGCCGTGAGGAGTAGTTTGTGGAAGAAACAAGCTAGTATCCATGAACATGAATATGGACCAGAAGAAAACATTGATGAAGATACATATAAAAAGACATGCACTATTTGTGGCCATGAAATAACTTACGAGAAGATGTAGTGTTAACCTATTTTTTTAAATTTTACTTTGTTTTTAATAGTATTTTGTATTTAAATCAAATAAATGCTAATTATGAACAAGATTTTGCCAGATTCTATGGAGAGTTATATTTTTCAGTTGCTAGAAGCTCTCTGAAGAAAATTAGGCTTTGGCTTATAAGGTAGAGCCATAGTTCTACCTTATTCATTTGCCATAGTTCAAGGATTGCTACCTTCTTGGTCAGGAGATGAGTCTGTATCATTGTGCATGATGCACTGATGAAATGGAGGTGAATTTCCCACTGCTCTTCTGCTTCCATCAGGAGGAAGTTTCTCCTGACTGTTGTTGGTTTTCAGTTACTGGTCATGGGTTGGCAGAGGGCGGGCAGCAAGCGGATTGAGCCGCACTTCTGGTGGTGGGAGACCATATAATGAGGCAGGTTCTTCTTTGGCTTGGATATACAACTCTATATAAGAGAATTCTCTCTTAAGAGGAAAGCTGCCTGCTTCCTTGGGAGGTTCTGACATATCTCTACTACCTATCATTGCAGGTTAGAATCCTTACATATATTCTCTATGTCTTTTTTATCCTTTTTCTTCCCAACTTTTGAAGCAGAGACCAAGGCAAGGGTCAAGACCTGTCCTTGGGGCAAGAGGGAAGGAAGTAGCATTCCATGGTAGAAGTCTTTAAATGCACCTGAGTGATGTTTGCTTTCAGTAGACTGAATTTACTTCCAAGTCTAAATTTTGAATTCTCATTCTTGCAGCTGTTGGGGAGTGCATGTGGAAAGAGCTGAAGTGAAGGAATGTTCTAGGGTTCTGGCTGTACATTTGCTCACCAGTGTAAATATAGCAGATTTCAGGGAAGTCTCTGGAGACTTCTGTTGTGAGCCTTGGCCACTGTGGCTGTGCAGAATGGAAATTTTCAGGAGGAAAACTATGGCATATTTGCCATCAGAGAAGCGTGGTGGTATGACTCCATAACTGGAGTGCTGCAGTGATGGTTAGAAGCTCCTCAGAAGGGACAGGCGGGCAAGCAGGGGCGGTGGGGTGGCTCTGTGTATTCGGGAGGGTTTTGACTGTACAGAGCTCAAGGGCAGTGATGATAAGGTTGGGTGCCTGTGGGTGAGGATCAGGGAAAGGCCAACAAGACACACATCCCAGGGGGAGTCTGTTACAGACCACCCAGACAGGATAAAGGGGCAGATGAAAGGTTCTATAAGAGGCTGTCTGGTGTTTCACAATCACCAGCCCTTTTTCTTGTGGGAGACTAATTTGTGGGATGTCTGCTGAAAACATCAGCAGGGGAGAGGTGGCAGTCTAGGAGGTTCCTGGAGTGTGTGGAAGACAAAGGACAGCTGGCAAGTGAGCTGTCCTGGTTGTGGCCAGGGCAGTTATTTCTTGCAGTAGTCAGGAGAGGCATAACCCAGACCCAGAAGTCGCCCTGTATCACCTCACACCGTAGACACGGGGTCCGTGGGCAGAAGGGGGTCCTTCCCAGTCAGGGTAACATTGGGTCTCACACGGTTTGTGTGTGAACTGATCATTGATCTTGCACACCGTATTAATATCAATATTAATATTGATACTGTTTGTTTCTTACCTCATTGCTCTTTCCAGGAAATTGTTCTTATCTCAACCGTTGATCTTTACGTTTTGTGCCTCTGTTTCTCATTGACTTCCTACTGGAGTGAGCAAGTTGTGCGTGACTCGGACTGTTTCAGTAGAAATGCTAAATTGGGGAGCACCATTCCTAAACTACAGCATGAGTGTACGAGGGGCAGTGGCCTACTAGAACTGCTGTTCATGTACAGAGAAGGGCAGGTGAGGGATGTGGTGGTTGGAGGCCGTCTTGGGCACAGTGACCATGAAATGATAGAGTTTTCAACCCTTGATAAGTGAGGAACAGGGTCAACAAAACCTCTGCCTTGGGTTTCTGGAGGGTGGACCTTGGCCTGTTCAGGATACTGGTTCAGAGTCCCTTGAGAAACAGTCCTTAATAACAAAGGGGTCCCATGAAGACTGGTCATGCTTTAAAGAGGAAATCTTGAAAAGTGGAGGAGCAGACTGTCCCTAGTGCCAAATGATGAGTCATCATGGAAGACCAGCCTGGTCTTCCTGTACGTCCTGGCTGAACAGGATGCTTCTGCTGTAACTCAGGGAAAAGAGGTTATGACTTTGAAATAAGGGGCAGACAACTCAAGAAGAGTACAAGGAAGATGGTAGGTGATGCAAAGAGAAAATTAAAAAGATCAAAGCTCAGCTGGAACTCAGGCTGGCCACCACTGTGAAATACAAGGAAAATCTCCAGTAGTTACTGTAGGTACGGAGGAACACTGTCATTAAGGATGAGGAAAAGATTGAGGTATTTGGGGTCTTTGTCTCATGCTTTAACTTGAAAGATCAGTTATCCTTGGGGCAACCAGCCCCTGAACTGGTACATAGGGTCAGGGAGCAGCACTGACCTCCTGTAATCCAGGAGGAAGTAGAGAACCTGCTGAGCCACTAGACCCAAGTCCATGGGACCAGATGGGATTCACCCAGGGACACCAAGGGATCTGGCAGGAGAGCTCACTAAGCTGCTCTGCATCATTTATCATCAGTCCTGGATAACCAGGCAGGTCTGGGATGACTGCGTTGGCCAGTGTGATGCCCATCTTACAAGGAGGGCTGGAAGGAGGATCTGGGAACAACAGGCTTATCAGTTTTGGTACTGAGGTAGAATAGATCATCCCAAGTGTGATCACAGCATATGCAGGAAAACCAGGTGATTGGACCCAGCCAACAGTTTTGGGAAAGACAGGTCCTGCCTGACCGACCTCATCTCCTTTTATAACCACGTGACCTCCCCAGGGGATGAGTGAAAAGTTGTCTACCTGGACTTCAGCAAGGCCTTTGACACTGTGGCCCAGCATTCTCCTGGAAAAGCTGGCAGCCCATGGCTTGGACAGGAGCACTCTTTGCTGAGTTAGAAACGGGCTGCACAGCCAGGCCCAGAGAGTGGAGGGAAATGGTGCTGCATCCAGCTGGGGGCTGGGCACCACTGGAGTCCCCCAGGGATCAGTGCTGGGGGGAATTGTTCAGAATCTTTATTGATGATCTGTATGAGATCGACTGTACTCAGCATAATTCACTGGTGACACCAAGCTGTGTGGGAGTGTTGCTCTGCTGGAGGGCAGGACGGCTCTGCAGAGGGATCTGGACAGGCTGGATCAATGGGCCAAGGCCAAAGGTGTGAGGCTCAGTAAGGCCAAGTGTCAGGTCCTGCCTTTGGCTATCAACAAGCCTGTGCAGGCTGGGACAGGGTGGCTGGAAAGAGGCCAGTAGAAAAGAGCCTACCAGTGCTGGCCAGCATCTGGCTGGGACTGTGCCCACGTGTCCAAGACGGCCAATGGCATCCCGGCCTGTGTCAGCAACAGCGTGACCAGCTTGGCACTGGTGAGGCCACACCTCGAGATCTATGACCTGTACAGAGCCCCTCAGTTCAGGAAGAACACTGAGGTGGACGGAGTGTGCCCAGAGGTGATTGATGGAGCTGGTGAAGATCCCAGGAGCAGCTGAGGGAACAGGGCTCATTCAGCCTGGAGAAAAGGAGGCCTGGGGTGACCTTATACTCTCTGAAACTCCCTGAAAGGAGGATGTAGCCAGGTGGGGGTTAGTCTCTCCTCCCAGGAAACCAGCAGAAGGACAAGAGGACAAGTGGCCTCAAGCTGCACCAGAGATTTAGGTCAGACATCAGGAAGATTTCTTTATAGAAATGCTAAGTGGACATTGGATTGAGCTGCCCAGGGAGGTGGTGGAGTCAGCACGCCTGGAAGTGTTCAAGGAAAGACTGGACACAGCCATACCATGGTCTAGCTGACATAGTGATGTTCAGTCATTGGCTGGATTTGATGACCCCAGAGTCTTTTCCAACCTAAGTGATTCTGTGTTTTTTTCAGAGGAGACAAGGTGCCTGGGAAGGGCAGATGATCCTTCCACCCATAGGTCTTCACTTTTCCAATGTTCTCCTCTGCAGCTATGCAGCAACCAGCTTGCCTGCCCACCAAGCAGAGGATTTAAGGCCTTTCAAGACCTAAGAAAGCAGTAGGGGGCTTTTCAGAGGGAGGCAGGTCCCAGCAGGGCGTTTAGAGGTAGTCCTCTATGTCATGTTTTCACAACCATGTGTTACCTTGGATTCCTAAGCTCCTCTCCGGGGCAGATGGTGGTTGCCACTGACTACTGCCCTTCTGTGGGCATGCTGCAGCATCCACCCCACCGCACAGCAAGCACCACCAGCCCACAACACCCTCCCGACCTCCTGCAGCAGCACCTCCCCTTCCCAGAGGACAAGAGGTGGCAAGGGACTGGGAGAATTTCTATATCAGCACCTCCTTGCACCTAGCAGCACATACACTTGCCTCACACGGCTGCAGGTGGGGGAGCGCGTTAGACCAGCTGTAGTGCAAGGAGGTGCAGCCTTGTGTGTTAAGTCAGGGTACCAGCACAAGTGCTGGGAAACAAAACTTCACAGCCCCCTGCATTTAACATCAGCATAACCCAGCATGACCACTTTGTTTCAGTGTCCCCCCAAAGAGACTGGACAAACACTCTCAGCAGCAACCTGCTTCACCTTCATTTATTTTTATCTTTACGTGTGCATTTTTTTCCAACCACACCACATTTCTACAGCATCTTTACACTATCCATCACTTCGTATTTCAGCAGTTCCAGTCAGCCGTTGGTATCACTATATAAGCGTTTCACTCTTTCCTACAGATCCTATTTACCAGTCAAGTCAGGTGTACACCATTAGACCTAAAAGAAGGTGAAGGTGTCCAACAGACTCAAGAAATGCAGTCAAAGCCCATGCTCAAAGCTTGGCATGATTGGAAGTTAAAATCAGTTTTGAAAGACATTGCTATTTGGTTTAAAAACACAGGATTACACTCAAGCATTTGCAGCTGTATCCCCAGCATCAATATTTGTCAAGGCTCAAAGAAAGTTACAGGTTTGCAAGTTCTAACTGCATTACCAGTTTTACGGAAGTCACATTTATAATCAGAACCCTCACCATTAGTTAATATCAGAACTGATACTGACCCAAGCCAGTGAAAAAACTATCAAACTCCAAT